AACTATAGAGATAGATCAGGATAACCTGAGCCACTCTAACTAGAAGCTTTATCAAAAAGGAAAGTTTTAAGCCTAGCCTTAAAATATATACAGTTACATGTGTATATATTTTTAATTTTACTGTGGAAAGTTGTATTGTTTTTCTTTGTTGTATTTTATTTCTTTAGGTGATGAATGTGTGCAATATGTTGTTTGTATTCCTGCGTGTAACAAAGATCATTTCCAGCTGGAATCTTTACCGTCGTCCTGATTCTGAGCTTTAACCGCTGCTCTGTGTCATTTTCTGGCAGATGAAAACTCCACCAGACAGATCTGGAATCACCTTTGAAATCGGGGCTCAGCTAGAGGCTCGTGATCGGCAGAAGAACTGGTCTGTTCTACTCTCACACACGTTCACCATTACACACCAAATGGTTTGACTTCACATCCTGCATTTAGAACCACTTCCTGGAAAGCCTCCTCTGGTATTCATGGAAGCTGCAGCATTGAAAAGGAAAAAAATGAAAATTTTTTACAGAAACAGGAAGTGGGACAGGAAAGGAAAGCTGTTAGTGGTCAGATAGAAGTGGGAACCATCTGACCTCTGCTTGGTTTCCCATCAGGTATGCTGCCACCATCGAGAAGATCGACTACGATAAAGAGCGAGTTCTGGTCCACTACCGCCAGTGGAGCCGCCGGCACAACGAGTGGTTTCACTGGAGCTCGCCGTATCTCCGGCCTCTGGAGCGGGTCAGCCTGAGGAGGCAGGGCCTGGGCTCCCAGCAGCAGGCTCAGCCGGTACCGCCGCTGTTCCTACTTCAGCTGTTTCCTTAGAACATCCCCTCAGTGATGTACAGAACATCAGAAGGTTTTCTCAGCATCTTCTCCTCCTTCCTCTCTGTTCCAGCCTTTGTCGAAATTAAATTAATGGTAAATTCTTCACATAAAACCTCAATATGATTTCTTTTTTTTTTACTACAGCAAATTCATTCCAGACAGAAAACTAAGAAGTTCAATTTCCATTAGTTTTCACTGTCTATACCATGATGCTCCAAGCTGAGCTTAGGTTCCTCCTGTTTCCAGCTGGTTGGACCCAATCAGGAAAGTCTCACCATCTACAGAAGGTCCCGCACTGTAGGAAGTTAGAGGAACTGTCTGCAGAAAGGATCCAGAAACCTTTCTGCTGATATTAAAGGTCCTCAGGAACCAAGTTCTCTGGAGCAAACCAGGAACTGCTCCTCTCCATGGCCTACCATCCCTACTGTAAAGCACGGTAGTGGCAGCATCAAGCTTTTGGATGTTTATCAGCAACAGGAACTGGCAGATTGGTGAGGGAGAGATGGATGAACCAATAAATGGAGGCCTGATGGAGATTAGATGTTCCCGAAAAAAGAACTGACAGCTGATGGAGACATGGGGTCCAAGAA